AAGGACCTGCTGAACGGTCGAAAGGCAATATGCGTGGTCCCTACACCATTCACAATGGGTGGTTACATCAACGACGCGCGCTATCACCACGACGACGAAGAATTCGAAGCACACAGACAGGGGCAGCTGCTGTTTCCCCGCCCACAAAACGCAAGGTTAATGGCACCGCAAGCTCCCACTCATCCGTCCCAATTAGTCCAGCCGACTATTTTGGTCGTGGAAGCACAGACCCTAATCAGTCCAGGATCTGAAATTTTCGTAGAGTACAGTATCGAGTCGGTACGAGAGCGAGGGGGGCGGGGGTGTGGCGGGGGAGCGATGAGGCGACGGGCGATGGAAGAAGTGTGATGTGTTGTGGTGTACCACTTTAGTGGGGCGGGGACGTAAAAGTTGAAAATGAGCAGCGGCACGCATGCTCAGCGGCACGCATGCTCAATGACAGCACGGAACATTACAGTACGTAGGAGGTACAGTACGGGGTAGAGTACTGTTCTCGTAAGTTGAGACATGGTGTAGATTGAGGATGTCTGAGTTACTGTGCAGGAGGTTTGGAGGCCAAGGGAGATAGAGCATCGACGACAGAGGGGGGAGATAAGGGATAAGATGGAATGGTGGACAATGGAAACACAATATTCGGCACAATGCCGGGAGCTTAGACAAGCTCTGCTGAGGTGTTATTGCTTTTTCTCTGCTACCTCCGCTACCTCTCTCTCTGTTCCTCTCTTCCTAGGACTAGCCATATATCTACCTCGCTTCCCGCTTCTTCCTCTCGATTAGCCTTTCGATTCTACTATGTACCCATTCCTCGGTGCGATGCTTTGCCTTTGCTTTCCTCGATTCGTTTCCTATCGGTGTCGGTGTTGCTTTCTTTTTGCCCTTCTAGACTGCATTCAGGATCCTTTAGCCCAATTACCTTACATCGGATATGGGTGCGCTTCTTTTCCCGCCTCTTCGCAATCAGGTCTGTTGTGTTGACAACCTCCTGGAGGCTGTGTCGCTCGAGCGTATACCTTGGAGTTAACATCGTACGTGGACTACCGGTGTCAGTTCACTTGTGGTGCCGCGCTTTGTAATTATGAGTAAGCAATAGTAATTGAAATTGCTTTTACTTCTCACTACTGTACAGTATTTTGATTGATGAGGGGAGCACGGAGCACAGTGCGGCGGCATTGCGCCGTGCCTCCCATTCGCTGTGTCCGCCGCCGCCCTGAGGGCCGTTCCTAACGACGAGCACGGTGTGCTAGCACGCAAGCACCCTGACATTTGGCATGAATGGATTGGTTGAACGGGAGTAAAGGCATTTCCAATAATTTTTTCAACCAATACATTCATGCCAAGTTCGTGTTCGCGTGCGCCGATGTGCACGAAAAAGATCCGCCGCTCACCGAAGGCGTGCGCACCATGAGTGCTGTCCCTCCGCCGTTAACAGCCCCAGCGTGTGTGCGATGCCTTCCCTTCCTTGTTCCGCATCTTCCTTTGTACAAAAAGCGGGGGCGGCGCGCGCGCGCGTGCGTGCGGGCCTCAGGACGAGGGGGCGTACTGCTGGGCGACGTCCGGCCACGACGGGGGGAAGGTTGCGCGGAGGTCGCCGCCGAGGAAGGTGGGGATGGCCTTCGGGGAGACGTACTTGCGGAGGGTGTGCCCCGGGTCGTCGTCGGAGACCCAGACGATCTTGTCCCTAGCGCCGGCGTCGATAATGGGGGCGACGGCCGTGTACGCGGCGCGGATGGAGGCGGGGTAGTTGAGCAGGAAGACCCTAGCGAGGCGGTCCGGGTAGTAGTCCTGCAGTGTCTGGATGGCGTCGCGCACGAGGCGGTACGGCGCGTGCCTGCGGACGGACCAGTCAGCAAAGTCGAGCAGCACGACCATATCGTCCTCGACGTACACGTCTG